GGCTCGGGCCGCGTCCCGGCGGGGCGGGAGATGCGGATGCTGGACCGGGAAATAGGGAATTCGTTGGGAGTTTTGCAAGGGAGTTTCATAAGGGTGTGTGAATACCCTGTAGGAAGGGTTGTGGACAAGGGATGGAGTGGCTGGCCAAGGGGGATGGCTTCCACTGACAGGAGGCAGGGATGGATGGGATACTGGGAAGGGATTGTTCTCTGGCAGGGTGGGCAGGCCCTGGCACAGCGTGCCCAGAGCAGCTGTGGCTGCCCCTGGATCCCTGGCAGTGCCCAACGCCAGGCTGGACAGGGCTTGGAGCATCCTGGGATGGTGGAAGATGTCTCTGGCATGGCAGGGATGAGCTTTAAGGTCCATTCCAACCCAAACCATTCCGTAATTCCATGACTTTCATAATGTGAATGAGCACTGTGAGCTCCAGTACCAGCCTTGTCCTGGCAGAGCTGCCTCTGAGCAGGTGTTGCTCTGTGTCGGAGACCCCGCTGCATTTAAAAGATTCATTCTTTTTTAGAATGTCTAAGCTGTCACCTGTTTGCTTTGGGGGATGCTGAGTTGTTCCTTTGGCTGTTGGCAGAGCAGTTTTTGATATTTCCCCAGGCTACAAAATCAATCCTTTTTTCCCTTTTCTTTTTAAATGCTGTGGCTCTGGGTTTTGAGAGAGTTGTTCTCAGCTGCTCCTCTGCAAATGCTCCGTCCACAGCAGTGTCAGTGACAGAGATGGAATCTGATCCTTGTGCTGCTCTGAAATTTGTAAATATTGAATGTCTTGCCAGGACATTTCAAAACGTTTTAATTTGGAGGATATTTTATACGGTTAACAAATAAATCAGCCTGGGGGATCCGCCTGACCTTCATGGTTGGTTCTAATCTCTATTTCAATAGCCGTTTCAAGAGTAACATGATCCATTTCTGCTGGAGAACTCCCAGTTCCACGTGTGTGGTGTCTGAGAAGTTGTGATAAGGAGCAGGCTTGTGTTGTGTTTCTGATAAGGAGATGGGCTCTGCTTCATTGTGGTGTGTAAATTCAAAGGGAGCACGAAGGTGAAGGATCTCTGGGGCTGGCACAGGGGCAGGAAGGATGGAGTTGGGAATTCCAGCTGTGTCTGTGGTGGCACTGGAAGGCAGCTGAGGGCTGCAGGGTAGCACCGGGCTCAGCTCCCAGCCAGGATGGGCAGGAGTGTTCCCTGCAGCTGGCACGGCGCTTTCCCAAGGGCAGAGCTCCAAATCCAGCTACAGATCTGTTTATCCTGCCACCTTCATTCCAGCAAATCCTGCTAGAATGAAAGCAGCAGACTTGGGGAGGAATTTTCCCACTCTCTCTATTCCTGCTGCTGCTTCTCCCTGTTCCTCCTCCAGTTCCCCTTCAAGCAGCTCAGCAGCAGCAGCAGCAGCTCCAAATCTTTCCTTGAAGGCACTTCCTGATCCCTCTTTGCTTGCTGTCACCCTCACTGTGTATCTCACACATTGATTCCATCCTTTTTTGATCCGTATATAAATCTCTAATTAAGATCTCCCTGCTTTCCCAGCTCTGTGCAGAGTTGGGACACTTTGGGGATCTCTGACTCATCATCTTCCTCCAAGTTTTTACTTGAACTATTCAAAAAAAAAAAAAAAACCACAACAAACCTCTTGATGGTTTGACATTCCAAAGGCCTGAGTAACATTTCCCTGTTATTGTTTTCTTCCTGCCTGTTTCCATCTGTCACTTGTTTACACACACTGGAACTGGGAATTGTTTGGGGGACACTCCAGCTGATGATTTGCTCAGAAATAAGCCAGAGGAATCCTGGGATGTGCTAAGGATTGGACAGAGGGGAGAGAGAATGTATTGTTAATAATCCAGTTCTGTTTTAGTGTTGGTTCAATGCAGGAAAGCCAAATCCTGTGGAATGGGAGACTCCTGCTGTTCTGCTAAAAGCAATTGAGTGTTAATTGAGTGCCTCCTCAGCTTCCTAAATTAACCTCCAAATGACTGCCCAGAGGAAGGCCGGTGTCATTATTCCCAAACAATGAGTTTCCTGGGAGAAGCCTGTAGCTACACCTAGTAGATGACTTCTAGCTTTATTATAACGTGCATTTAAGAGCTTAAATCCTGAACAGACAAATCCTCTTGCTGGAAAACAGCCCTGTGGGTGGGCAGGTACCTCAGCAGAAAGGCCACACGTGTGTGTGGGGACAGGTGCTGTGTTTGAGGTGTGGTTTGGGGCCAGCAGGCTTTGTTTGCCCACCTGGATGGGCACAGGCAGGATTCCAGGAGCTGCTGGAGCACTGATTTCTTGGGAAAGGGGGCTGTGGCTGTGCTGGGCACTGAGGAGGCCTCACCTCAAACCCTGGGGTCACTTCTGTGGCCTTCATTCCAAAAAAGACCCTGAGGGGCTGGAGCATGTCCAGGGCAGGAAAC